AGCAGCCTCTCTTCTCATCTCTATCTCAATGGAATGAGCCTCTGCCATGACAACCCTCTCCCAGTTATACATAGCTCAGCCTCAGCTTGGTGGTTCTCTCATGGGGCGCTCGCAGCTTGACTATGTTCTTGTACAGACAGTCACCTTATCAATCTCCAACTTCGCGCTCTCTCGCAAGTCGTCAAAAAGCTCGGCCTAATCCTATTTCTGCTCTCAAGCAGTTTATATATTCAGCTTCGCACTCTCTCACGAGTCGCTAAGAAGCTTGACCTAATCCTAACTCTTTTCCTAAGCAGCCTATGTATCCAACTTTGCACTCTCTCGCGGGTCGTTAAGAAGTTCGGCCTAAATCTACCTCTACTCCCAAGCAGTCTATGTATCCAGTTTCGCACTCTTTCGCTAGACACCAAAACTCAGCCTCGAGAGGTGTTACTCTCTCATGAGCCAACCTCAACTACTCTCAGTAACTCCCCATGCCTACCTCTCTGTTACCAGATGCTTGAATGTCTTTCCAAGCTTGATCATCCTTGAAAAAGGCAGGGAAAAGTTGTAGCCTCCTACAAGCATTCAAAAAGCAGAACATGAAGGAAAGGAGGCAAGTACAAAATCAAAGTTGAGAAGAGAGGCATACCTTGGACCTCGAGATCTCTGTGATATCCCCGGGTGTCACAGACCTCCAAAGTCATCAAAGCATTGACACCGAGCCACTACTAGAAGCAGAATAACTATATGGAGCTACAATCCCCGTAGAAGATCGCACTGGAGTCTCAACTCTTACAATGGTACAAGGGCTAGCTCTGGTACACATAGGAGTCACAATCTGAGAAGGAGTGGGGGCAGCACTGGGTCCCATCTCTTGGGAAACAACCTAGCCATCGAACCTTGATTGAGAAATACTGGAGGCATCAAACCTCACCCTCTTGGGAGGAGGGAAAGACACCACCCTAAAAGTATAGAAAACCTCCACCATCGCCCTATCAACAGGGCGCCTGTAATTAGAGACAAGGTCAGTATAATAAACCAACATCGAGAAAACATAAAGAAAAAAACAAGATTGGAGAAAGCGGGTTCGCCTCTTACCTAGTGAAAGCCATCATAGTATCTCTACCTGGTAAAAATCCAAAATGTCAATCCGTTGCCCATGAATGCCTGACAGTCATCTCCCAGAACGTAACTTTCCACCACTGTCGGTTTCACTAATTTATGCTTAAAACTCAAATTTAGAGAAATAGAAGCATTTTTTGACAATTTTTTTTGACCAAATTGCCTTTGGCAATTATCATGTCATAGATCTCGAAAAAATACATAGATTCAACAAAAAATTCGCCTCAAATGGATAACCGAGCGCAAAGTTACGACCATGCAAAGTTTTTCCCTTTTTCATAGTTTTCTAATACTCCGGCCAACGCTCAGCACCTGCAAGGCGTCGCATAGCATAACACTACTCCTGGCATCGCCCAGCAGCCTCCTGGGCGCCGCCCTGGCTCTCTCTTGTCCCACCTCACTCCAGCAGCTGCCCAGCACCTCAGGTGTCACCCAGCTACCTAAGGGCGTCGCCCAATCCACTGTCGCCAATGTCCCTGCGCCTGCAAGGCGTTGCCAAAAGACCCTTCTATGCCATGAGCGTCGCCTGCCAACCTTTTTCGTCGTCGCCTGTGATTGGTGTCGCTCTACCCAGCGCCTAGTCGGTGTCACCACCTCCCACGTGTTGTTCACCTCCTTTGCCGAAGTAGCCTCCAAACGTGCCATGGGCGCCGCCAACCTCTCCACCCCCTTGGGCGTTGCCTAGGGCACGCTAGGTGTCGCCTTCGTTGCCTCCTCTGGCGCTACTTTGCTTGCCTCCTCTGGCACTGCCATAAGGATCCTTGAGCGTCGCCCTTGGCTTCACCATGGCGTCGCCTCAAGCTTCACTTGGATTTGTCGAGGTGTTGCCCAGGGCTTCACCAAATTAGCCTAAGCACTTGATTCGGTCTACGATCCCCTTAACTGCCTTACTCGTCGACAGTGATCTCACCGCACCTCTCTACACACTTTCTCTCTGCTAGTTATTATGCCACTCTTGGAACTAGCCTTGTCTCTCCCTCTCTCTTACTTTATTCCATCAATAAAGGTTCACCAGCTACCGTAGCCATTTCTCGAAGTAGAGTTGGTTATCTGGATCGAACCACTATATATCTCAACCTCAAGTAATAAAAGACGGAAAGGCTTTCAAATGTGTATCGAGCATATGAAACCATGGCAAGAACATTTAACGTGGAGAAAGAAGCCGGTGAAGAATTTGCTGCAATAAGAAATATGGCTGTGTTTCAAATAAGAGTGGTAATTTCTAACACAACCATGAAAACATGACTTGAAATCGACATGAAATTAGTAGGTTAAGATTTATCATTTCTCGATATGAACCCACATATGACACAACCCGTTCACGCGAATAATAAATGGGTTCGAATAATATCAAATACGAACAACACGAAACTGACACGATTAACACGTTTAAGTATTATTATAAGAATAAAATATATTTTTTATTATATTTTATCAAGTAGCGAACTAATTTTTCTGCAAAAAAAGATATGTTTATTGATTTTTATTATTATATTTATTAAGTTAATTTTTAATTTATTAAAAAAATATAAGCATAGGTACAATTAAATGATAATGAAATTTAAGATATAAAACTAAGCGTTAAATTTTTTATTCACATGTTATACGGATAAAAACGAACACGATTGTCATCCTAGTTTCAAAATGTGTGGCATCCTATCTGATATGTTGGTCCAATATCAGACAGGATGCTACAACTTATTTTTTTACTTGGTTTCACCAAGAGCAAGCATTCTTTCCAGAGGAAAGAGTGGCATCTTCACTTTCCAATTTGAGTTATGTTTACATAGTTCAATTTCTCATGCTATGTATGATGTTTCAGTGAAGGAATAGTCAAGTGGATGTCCATTTAAACGTAAGTCAGAATTGTAGCAAATTGTGTGCACCGAAGTGAATGGGCATATGAGAAACATGTTTGGTAATGCTTTTGATTAATTCCAGCATTATTTTCTGATTTATCCCCCTTGAACTTCTCATTACATTGACAGTGTTAGAGAGCGGTTGGAGACAAACAGATGTCTAGCTCCCCATGTCTCTGTGTCGAAGTGGTTTGTCACCAGACCCACCTCTACGGTAGGAGTTTAATAAATAATGTAGTTCTTGTTGTATAGAAACACAATTACCACGATCAAAGCTGTCCTATGCATTCCACGCTCTTGTATCTTACAACCCCAAATTGGGCGTATTCACATCAGATCATCCAAAAAATGTTACCCCAAATTATAATATTTTTGTAACTGATCTTCATGAATACACACAGAATTTAGCAAAAAAGGGGGAGAGAGAATATTACATAAGCAGTCATAAGTACGTACATATCGAATGAAGAGAATTTTCCTAAGCAGTCATAAGTAAGTACATATCAAAAAGAGAGAATTTTCCAAAGCATGTTTGCATTATACTGAAATTATAGTAGTTCAAAAGAAACAACAAAGATATTTTCAGCTTTTATCCTCTTCAGCTTCCATATCCAGAATTTGCTTCCTAAGTTTAGCCATTCCCTCGTACACATCTAGCAGATCTGTTGACTTGTCCATCAGCACACTTCTCAGTGTGTTTATCTCAGTTTTGAGTTTACCTAAAGCTCTTAATGTGCAAGCATTGACTTGCTTTTCAGCTTCCTTACGTAACGCAAGCTCCACAGAATCCTTGTTTCAGGTTTTGAGCCAGTCGAGTCTCTTCAAAATTCTCTCCTTAGAAGCAAGGGAAGAATGCCCAGGCAAAAATTCTCGCAGGAGTTGTGCCCCAGCATATCCATGTCCAAAGAGTGCGAGGGTGACAACAATTGCTCGCACAGAAAATTTTCTCCTCACTGGGATTTCCACCATGCTCTTCACCAAGTCCTTGGTTTGGCTTGGAGTAAGAGCAGCCCTTTTAGCAACTATATTTTGCCACATAACCAGAATGGTTCTGCAAAAGAAAACAATACATTTTACTTCAAAACATAACAAGTAAACTTTTGGCAAGTAAAAATGATATGCAGTATTTTTTTCCCGGTAAGTAACATGATTTCTATTAATTGAATCTCTATATTCTATTTAAATGTAGTAGTGTTGAGAAGTCTCCAATCTTTCATTCCAAATTTTTGAATTTTTGAGTTTTTTAGCCATGAAATTGCTTACTTGGCTTCTTATGATTGGTCCTTCCACCCTTTTTTACGTCATTTAATCGTTTTTTCTCAAAATAAGGACAAGTCTATATTTAAACTAACTGATAACTCCCACTTCTCATGTAACCTCCAGGTTTCCGACTGTTCAACTTTCCACTCATTCACGTCTCTCTCTCCATATTCACATATCTCCAACCTTTCTGACTATTCATGCATGGTATATTATATAGCAGGGAAGAGAGACAAACCAGAATGGAACCCTACTGTGTGTGACGTGCGTTGCTACGACATTTTTGCAATGTTGCTCCCATCTGTTCGTTGAGGGTAAGTTCCGATACATTCATGCACATGGTGAATTTGAGGGTAATGGTTGCATGGAGTAGGCTATGTTTCATATGTTGCCCACCCCCCGAGGAAGGGGGAGGCAGTAGGCAGACATGGTTTGGCTGAGGGGCTGGACTGTTGTGTTTGCAACTAAAGCTGGTGGGGGCTTGGAGCAATATCAATGTGTTATGGAAAATCTTGAGAAGTTTTGTTATATCTTCAGCAAAGCAAAAATGTAAAATCCCCTCCTCTTTATTTTTATAGAAAACACCATTTTATTAAAAGTAAAAAAATGAAGAGCAGAGATGGGTAAGTAGTCCAACCTAAATACAAATCATCGAAAAGCAGTACATAAAAAGGTAAAAAAAAAACCAAACCAAGAAAACAAGCTAATCAATCACAAGCCACCTTCCATTTCACCAAGATTTCAAAAAGTGGAATATATGCAAATTCCTTTGAAACCAAAGCACAAAAAAGAGTTGCAAAAGAGTGAATTCGGTTTCAAACCCCATCAAACTCTTCATACTTATCTTCAAAGATTCTTGAATTTCTCCCCAACCAAATCACCCAAATTATTGCATAGAAAGCACATCCCCAAACAGTACTTCCTTTACTTCCCTTTCCAAAACCTTTATAATCCACAACCAACATTGTTGAAATTGTGAGAATCAAGAAAGAAAGAGGATGGAGATTACGATTGATCATAAACATTTTAAAGTCAAGTTTGAAGGTTTGCATGGTGAACTTATTCGCATAACGGAATGGAATCGATTTGGATATTTCTCATGCTTAGTGAATAGAAGTTGTGTGAGATGGTTGAAGGAGATGTTTTCTAAAGCTTTATCCAGGAATCGACAAGATATTTTCTTTAGAAAGTTTAGGAGGGATGAATATTGTATGTGGATGGAATTGGAAAATAGCAGGTTTGGGGAGTTTGCCAGGATTACACAAATGATGAATAATGGTAAAAGAAAGGGTTTGATTATTCCCCACGGCTCCCAAGGCATTGGATGGAAAGGGTTTAGAGGATTAATGGAGGATGCTCTTTCAGGTGGAAGGAATACTATGATACAAGAAGAAGAAAATCAAAGTTTGATGGTGATATCAAAATGTAGAGTCAGAGAGCAAGGAAATGGGGCATGGGCTGAGATGCATAAGGAAAATACTCCTGCAAATGTTAAGGGGGATGAAAATATGCTTAAAGAAGAGGTTAAATGGAGGTGTGTTGTGGTATGTGTTAAAGGAAGTTCGTTTTTTCTACGAATGTTGAAGAAAACAAGAATGTTCAGTCGAAAGGAGAAAGGAATACTACAAGGCGAAGGTAGTACGGAGATTTTGTGCATTGGGTGAAAGGTTGAAGATGAGAGTTGTTGAAACTAGCATATTGGAAAATCAATCGGCCAAAAATGAGCTGCAAACAAAGGGGGATTACGTGTCAACAGGAGAAAGACAAGGCCACAATAAATGCAAAGATTTGGTTTGATTGAAAAAAATTCTGATGACTTGATCAGTGCCATTAATCTTGCTGATTTCTAACAGAAAATATTTGATAAGGATAATTCAAATATGGACCGTAATTTGAATTCAAAATCTGAGTTAATTAAGGATAAGGCAGAGGAGATGGATCACGAAGGGTTTTGTTAAGGAAGAAAGGTGGGCTGAGATAAAGAAACAAATGGGTTGGAAACAAATGTTTTTACTAATGGGCTTGGTAAGGTGGGCCATTTTAATTTAAGAGGGTTTTACAGAATTGTAGAGGCCTGGTCCACAAACATTTGTTTGTTGGGGAGAGCTCGAATGATAGGGCTTTCTCACACAGGCAAAGGGGGGTCTCTCCATAGACGAAACAAAGGCTCTCCTCAAAGTCGAAAACTGATGGGTAAGGTCACTGAAGCTAATCATCGAGCAAAGGGGGGATTGGAGCTTCTGATAGGATCTCCTTAGCCAAGGCAGAGTTGACAATGGGCAAAGGAAGTAGTGAAAAAGGGGCTATAGTTGGAGAGGAGATCTGCGATGGTTGGCAAAGCTAGTGGGAAGACTTTGAGGTCCGTTTCGACATTATGGATGGACAGAGACACATACATTTGATTTCAGAAGATGAAGAAGTTTGCTGCAAGAACTTCTAAAGATATAAATTAGCAAATAAGGAAGTAAAAAAGATAGTTCGATATGCTAAATTTAAAAGCTTACGATGAATTGTACAAAAAAACTA